TGTTTTGTTGTTGTTGTTGTTGTTGTTGTTTTATTACAGCTTTCGGCGAGGGGCCACAAGAAAAGTTTGGTTCGAGAAAATATGCTTGGCCTGGCTTGGTGACGGCTCTCGGAGTTTAAGGCAGGCCCCATTCCACACAATTAGGCGCAATTTGCATGATAAACGTGCCATCAAACCAAGCCACAAAGAGCATGTTTGAGTGCCGCATATGTGTGGCAGAGCTGGCGAGTGTGTGACATACCCGTATGTGAGGTGGGGTGGTGGGGCAGGCACAACAAAAGTTTTACAAGTCCTGGCTAAGGAAATCTTTTTGTGTGTGCTTCCACTTAAACGCTTTCGAATGAAGTTTCACGCGTAAAAGCCATAAATAAAAAGACACACCCTCACCACCAACATGCGGGTGGGGCGGAGGGATACTCTCTCTAGAGGGAGAGAGAGAGCACTGAGCGAATTTGTGTGTGTGTGTGTCTAACAAATCTGTAGAACAACGCCCAATGCCATAACGAAGACTGTCAGCCACGCGCTCCCATATGAAAAACTCATTTAACTCATAAATTATGCACTAAAAAACAAATAACTCATCATTTTTATGCGTTCGTCCAAGTTGGAGAACAATGTGAGAGTCTGTGTGCGTGCTTGCCTGCGTGTGAGAGTGTGAGCGCGAGTGTGGCCTGCATTGTGGGTGACACTTGGTCCATAAATACACTCGTGCAAAAATGTTGCTAGACAGAGTCGTAAAACAGAGAGGAGCGAAAACTTTGAGACAAGCAATAAAATCCTTTCCGCCCCGCCCCGACCTAGCTCAGCGCAGCAGGAACTTTAAGTGCTGTAGTGGGCGGGTGGACAAGGTCACAGGGAGAACTAAACGTTTGGTAATTGAAAAGGGTAATTTCAAGTGCTTAAAGTTGAGACAGGCACGAGAAGTGCCCGTTCGCCGGAAGGGGCAAGTAATATGCGCTGATATCGAAACTATCACCATTACCCAAAAGCTGCTCTCTCTGTGTGATGCAAACATTTCGAGGGTCTGATGTACATATGAAGCTTTCGCTACGAATATTTTGGCTTGTGCGTGTGAACACGCTGATCGGGCTGCGAATGATGTATTGCTGTAGTCGGATGTTTGGGAGCTTTGCTTTACATATCGGGGCATAAATATAAGCACACTCGAACAAACATCTTGGTGGGGGGCGGGGCGGCCATTTAGCAGTATTTAAAATTTATGACTCGACCATTAAGTGCGTATTAACTGAATGCTTTGTGGATGCTATAAACTTGACAAACACTCGCCCAGATGATGGGCCAGGCCAGGGAGGGAAATCAGAAGGAAGTTATAGGGCATATCGTATGACAAAGAGCTCAAACTCGCAACTTTTGCCGCTTTTGTAAAAATTGTTGCCACTCTCGTATAGTCACTCACTCACTCACTCGTTCAACACACCGCCCCGCCTTGCCATACCCATTGCCATTGCCCACGATCGTGCAGGATATAAAGTTGCGGCAACATGGCTGCCGCAAAAGTTTGTGGCAAAACTTTGGGAAAAAGTGCAAGTTGCCTTCTTCTCTGTTACCTGCACGATGCGATTGAGAGATTTTTTTTTCACGACAGAATTCGTTGGGCTGTGCGGTGGGGAATGTGAAGCAAAAGCAGGTGCAATTGGAGCAGAATTGCATTAGCTAATCAAACGCCGGCGATGACTGTCCACTTGTCAACGTGGGGAAGGGATTAACGCATGAATGAACGCGTGCATGCCGCTTTGCTAATTACTCCCTAGAATCCTTTTAATGCGATTCCGACGGCTCCTTTTTCGCTTCCACCCACACATTTCCGTACTCCGAGTGGGAGTGCGGTCAACTTTGTCTAATGAACCGCACATTAGAGGCAGTGACAGTGGCAGTGTCGACAGCGATCCGCATCAGGAAAGGAAAGGAAGGGATGGGAAAGGAAAGTAAATGCATGGCCTTTGCCTGTCCTCGCACCCTGACTTATTGGCATTTCCTTCAAACGCATTTAAAGCGCGCTGCCTGACTGCACTCACTGCTTGCCATGCCATGCCAAGCCATGCCTTTCCCTGCAACCCGTCTGTGTACGAGTCGGATGGGGGTATCGATACTCTCTGGCTGACGACGATGATGCCACCCTGCCGCGCTATGCTGCCTGCCTGGCTGCAGTTCAATTGAATTTCAGTGTAAAACTTCTGCAGCCTGCTATCACACTCAGACCAGCTCAGACCAGCATCAGCACCAGCATCAGCACCGGCACCCGCCGTGGCAGCTCCGTCGTGTACTCGCATTTCATTTCTTTTATTTGGTGAAAAAGTTTTCATCTCTCACCCCCAATCACAACCCGGCAGCGAGCGGACGGGCCCCCGGCTTATTGTGCCGCTTCATCGAGTACGTTTGGTAATTTGCTTTATGTTCGTTTGCTTTGCCTCTGCTACTTAAAATAAATTAGAAATTATTGGAGCATTTTGATGCTCCAGCTCGGGGCGGCGGCGGCGGTGGCTGCCCGACGATTGGTTTTGAGTTTGGTCATAAATTCTTAATCAGCGTAGATCCCATATTCGTCCCACTCAAACTTTTACCATATATAGTAAATAGTGCTACATGTATGGGACTTTTGGCAGATGGAATAGCACACAAGATTGAGATTCTGAGACACCTGGGAAGGTCTGCCAGAGGCATGCTGAACATCCTGATTATAGACATTTACTATAGAAGTGAATGGTAAATTTTGCACAGATGATTGCACTGTAGTGTGAGGTGCAGTCTGACGCAGTCAGACTATTCCTATTACTTAATCTAGCTCTAAACTATTTGCACATGAAGCATGAAGCATTGGTCAAATATTTTTGAAGGTTTCATCCGTTGGAAATTTTTGAGCTATAATTAATAATAATTATCGTGGTAGCCGAGTTTAAAATTGAGTTCTCAAATTGAAGCAAGAGAGTTGCTTTTGCCGCTGGCAAAAGTTTGGCAGCATAATTACCACCCAAAGTCCAGGCTATCGTTTCGCTGCAGTGGAATTGGAGCAGAAATTACGCTTATGCCGGCCCTTGGCTCTTGTTATTATGCGGCTGGCATCTGTATGTGTATGTGTGTGGGTGTGTGTGTGTGTGTGTGGGTGTAAGTGTGAGAGTGGGTTTTAGTGTGGGTAGTTGAACGCAATCAATAGCAATTGTTATGTTTGTGTTGTTGCTGGTAACTGGCATCATGAATGTCATGCCCTTCGTCCACCCACTCACCATCGGGAAATGGCGAGCACAAAATCAGGCTGCATGCCATAGACCAATTTGTATTTGCGTAATTAAGAGGATAGCCACTGGTCTCCCGATGCTGCCCTAATGGACGTCGATGTCTGCGATTCTAATTAAAACAATATACACTTTTGCCACGTCCAAAAATGGATGCGGATTGTTCGCTGCGAGTCCTGCGCGTAGTTCCCTTTAAACGCGTCCTGGCTAAACGACAATTCTAACGGCGCGCCGTCTAAGCATCCTTCGAAACTTAAGGAACAGCCCCCACCTCCCACTTCGTGTATGGCCACTGAAGCATTCGCCCATTGCGGCCGCAATAACAGTGAAAAAATAGGAGTAGTTAGCGTAATTTCTTTGCTCCAGTAGTTTTTCTTGTCCTCTCTCCAGCTGAAACAGAAACAGAAACTGGGACTGCAAGTGCAACTTCTGCCACAACTGGCACCCACCCACTCTTCCTTTCCAGTGAAAGCACACCGCAATGAGTTTGATAATAGTTTCAAGTTATTAACATTAATTTTTTTCCTCGCACCCCTCCGGTCTTCCACATTGCTGTTTCAGTTTCGCCGCAACGCGAGAGGAGGACTTAAGTTGGGTTTATCATTGAAAATGTTGGCAAAAGTTTTTGCATAAATTATTTTCACGATAATGCCTGCATTAATGAGGCTTTAGAGCTAATTAGCCCCACCGCAAACATTAAAATTGGTTTCTTTTGTGAACTTTTGGCATATGATAATTCTATTGCAAATCTAATCAACTGCGTTTGCTGTTCAAAATGTTTAACGGAAGCTTTAAAGGATGCTAGTTAATGCAAGGACCCAAAGCTTTATTTTGTCAAGTGTGGTTGGACATCAAGCTGTGTGGACTCCAATTTCCAAGCCAATTGGGAAAAGCTTCTGGTCCACTTGAGCGAAGCTTTCAAAAGGTGGTTTGGATATGGAATGAAATTTTTTTTTTCAAAAGAATGGAATTCGTTTTACTGTAAGCTTTTGGCTGTACATGCTATGTACAAATAAATTAAATTACTGCGGACTTACAAGCTTTAAATAAGCTTTCTCTACCGTTGGTGTAAATTACATGCATCAAAACAAACTGTAAAGTTTAAGCTGTGCCAATACTTCGTCGCTGCACAGACATATGTACATATAAAATATTTTAACTAAATATAATAACAACAAATAACTATTTGTCCTGCCATGCAGCATTTATGGTTCCGTTGAGATGGCACCGGGGACAGGTCGCATACTCATTCATAGTCCTAACAGGCTAGAGTCTTGCTGAACAGGAGATCTCTCGTGAAAATTCTTGTGCTCATGTGTTTTATTATTAACCTTTAATTTGTGGCGTTAAGGCTTCTATTTTAAACATACATTTATATTCACCGCACTTCAGGCTAAATATATGGCCCAGAAAGTAATGCTCTTACCTTCAACAAGCGACAAGAGACAACAGACAACAGATTGTGAAAAGTGGCCACCGAGCTGGATTTAATACCTCGATTGACATACGAGCCTGGGCAATCAGGTAACTGGATTATGTTAGAGAAACGTTGCCAAACGACGGACTATCAGAGCAATTGAATTAATCGCATTAAATATGGGTGAATCATACGGGCAAAGCCCCCGCAAACTCCAATAAAAGTTGATCAATTAGCAAACGCTTTTCAGGGATTATCAGTTCCAACCCGCATCCCTGCCTCCTGTGGCACAGACACAGTCAAAAGTACAAAGGGGTTTTAAAGTTGTCACATCAAGTTTATTGTTTATTGAAATATCGGATATTCGTGTATGATTTAGGTGTATAACTACATTTATTAACTTGTATATAGTCTTGATAACATTAGGTTAAAACATTTAAAAACGTTCAATAGATGCTCTCTCTGGTTTAAACTGGCTTTAATGCTCGTAGATATCAATTGAAATGTTCTGCTTAGGTTGTAGTTGTAGGCCAGTATGATTGGCTTGGCTAAAACATATGTGTAGATGTGTTTGTACACTTAACCCACATATAAAACTAACACACTTATTATCATAGAATGCTTACATCAAAGATAGAATGAAGCTCAAGTCTTTATAGTTCTTTCGAGCAAATTACAAATATACACAGATATTCAGATATTCAGATATAGTTACATATACTAAAATATACATACATAAATATACATATACCAGGATATACATATATGAGATGACGGAAATGTACACTTCAGTTTTCAGTTGAATATTTAACGATTGAACAAACACCAAATTAAACACTTTGTCGATTAATTAATGTTGCCTATCCACGCTGCGAATCACAAAATTCATTATCTTATCCAAACGATCTAAAGTTCACTTTTAAAGCAGAACTCTGTCCATTCAATAAATTTTTAGCACTCGTTACGTGCACTCGATTGTCGATTATCTTAGCATAATCTATGGTATCCCCTCCGCCACCCATCCCATCCCATCGCTGACTAGAGAAATGTGGTGGATGGGTATGGGAAAGGGTTTCGTTACAAATATTCTTTCCCATGTTTACCATATTTTCTTTTATTTTGCCATATCCATGTATACTCAATCAGGTAGCTGCAATTCCTCAAATATCCCTCTATACAGGCATGATAACATCTCCGTTTAGGAGTCGTTGATTCAATATACAGTATATGGTTAATATTTCACCCATTGTTTAAGTGATTTCAGTTGCTAAGCAAGCTCGACACACATATACATATGCATATACATATGGATACATATGCACACATATATGTAGGTACATATAATTAACATTAATCGGAGGTCTATAGATTTGTACCTTCTCTGTTCTGCCTCGTTCCGCATTCCATAGCCCGAGCCTGAGCCTGAGCCTGAGCCTGAGTCTTAGCCTAAACATTCAGATATTTGTGGTTGGCTGAGAAATATAACTTTTACTGTCTCCATCCAGCAGACTAATCTGGGTATCGGTATCTAAATATAACATTCATGTGAGCATATACATACATACATGTATGTATATTATCTAACATCTATAACTTTTTGATTAGGAAAATATATATGTATCTGTTCTTTGCACTGCACTTTCCCTGTAGACAGCCACACAGTCGCTGATGGAGTGATGGACTGCCTTTCCTGATCAACCATTCCGGACGCGGCCTTTACAAAAATAGACTAGCCTAGACAAATATACATATTTGGATCTCTCTCCATCTCTCCATCTCTCTTTCTCTTTGTGATATGCTGTACAATAAATATGTATCTGGTTCACCCACCGATGATGGACGCCTGCCTGGCTTAAATTAAAACCTTGGGAATGCGAATATAGAGTTGGAAATATAGACTTAACCTATTAAATTAAATTAAATATAACTAAGGGAAAACAACCGAATTTCGTTAATGTTTCTTACACGCTTAAATTAACCATTATTCTATCGTTTTTAGATCACTTTTAAAGACAAATGGCTGCACATACAGCTGAATAATACAACTAACTAACTAAGGGAGAAATCAATGAACAACTCAGCTCTTTTCTGTATCTTAGAGATACGATATTAAATGTAAAAGCGTCTTCGTATTTTAGTATTAATTAGGCCATAAATCACGCACGACGGTTGCATGTAAATGAGTCCACACATGCCACCCAAGCACCCTCAAACCACTCACGCATCCACGCATCCACCTATCCATTCATCCAGTCATCCATAAACAATGCCTCTTACTCTTACTTGCCACTCGAATCGCGTAGGGAGCGAGTGGATGGCAGGCCACGCAGTCCCTTCTCCAATTTGTCAGCATCGCCGGCAGAGAAGCGGAAATTCACGGCCTGGCCCTGGCCCTGGCCTTGGCTCACGCCCAGCAGGATTGGCCTTGAGCCACGTCGGGGTCCTAGTAGCTCCACACTCTCCTCTTCGTCCCTGAAATAGCCGGCTGCTGTTGCTACCACCTGTATCGGAATCGGGTTGGGGGTCTTGGCCGGTGGCGAGTACTCTGCGGTGGCCTCCGAAAGCCGTCGGTATTCTCCGCTGCGTGAGTTTTGCAACTTCCAGGAGGCGCGTCTTGTGGTGGCCACACTGGCGACGCTCTGGCTGCTGCTGCTGCTGCAGTGCACCGAGGCGCTGGTGGTAAGATTGCCAGTGCTCTGCGAGACCACGCAGCTGTTGGAGCTGGAGGTGCTGCTGGAGATGCTCGAATTGCTGCCACTTACGCTGCGTCGAATTCGCTTGGATCGCTCCTGGGGCAGAGGCGGCGCCTCGACCGATGGCGGCGGTGGAGCCATCTGCTCCTCCGATGTGAGCAGGCTGTCCGTGCTCTTGCAGCAGCTATGCTGGCTGGCCGAGTGCTTCATGGTCCAGCGAAAATCATTCGAGTTCTCATCGTCCAACGGCGGATAGATGCGTCCGGCACTGGACCCGCCAGTCGGGCCAAGCAAACGCTCCTTGGAGCCTCCCAGAGTGGGATCTGCCGGGGAGATGCATTCGTCGATGGTGTTAAGCGGCGATATCTGGAGGGTCTGTTTCTGCTGCAGGAGTTCCATTTCGTTCTTGATGGCCGGCTCGATGCCCAACAGGCCCAGGACCAGGCGCGGATTGGCCAACACGAAGCGCTCGAATGTGGGGAAGTCGATGCGGTAGAAGTCTGTCTGGGTGCTGCGATTGGCCGTCGTCCGGATCGGTTCACCGTTGGTCGCCGCTGTCTCCGGGGATGCCTGCGCCGATTTCGAGCTGACCGCATTGCTGCCCGGCAGCTGCACATCGCGGCCCCACACCTCGGGCGGATGCGAAGAGCTCCTGTGCATAGGCGCCACCTCTGGGCCACCACCATTGGGCAGGTGTCCGCCCATCAAGTCCAAGCCAGCAGCATCAGCCAGGCCCAATCCGGAGCGAGAGGCGACACCTCCGCTGATGTTCGGAATGGAGCGGGCCGGCTGGAATTTTAGGGAACTGTGCGACGTCATGGCCGTGGAGGTGAAGGCCATCTCCTGCAGGGCGGTTATCGCGTTGCGCACCTCCACGCTCAGCTGGGCGACGTCCTGGTGCAGGGTGGAGACCTGCGAATCCAACCGCTCCAGCGATGGCCGCTTGCCAACCGCCGGCTCCTCCCCTTCGGTGTCTGGCTCCTCGAACGAGCCTCTGTCCAGGCTGCAGGCCGCATTGAGATTCCGGTGCCGCTTGTTCGTCTCTCGTAGCGTGATCAAAGAGCGTCCGCGCTGGTTCAGCCGCTGGTTGCGTGGGCTGCCCATTCCGAGTAGTGGGGATCGTGCCGCATGAAGCGGAGAAGCGGTGTTTACGCTGTGCAGCGGCGAGGGTGTAGCCCCACCGGCCGCAGCCCCGCCGGCCGGAACGGCACCATTCTCCTTATCTGCACGCCCCTCCTCGCCCTCCTCGCGGTTCTCGTCGTCCTCGCTGATGCTGGGCAGCGGGAAGGAGGGACCGATGTCCGAGTCCTGGTTCTCGTAGCCCTCGCGCAGGTTGTAGGTCAGGTCGTGCTGGATGTCATTGGCGAACTGTTGCTGGTATTCGGGGTACAGCCGAAGCACCTCCACAAGTCCGCCCATGTGGACGCACTTCAGGTCGCAGTAGGTGAGCGCCTGTGGGGGGAGCAAAGGAAAAGAACAGACAGAAAGTGAGTCAAAAGCCGTTTGGCGCTAAGCGATTATACACTTGGTTCTGAGGGGCTGAGGGAGGAGGGATCCGAATCTGTATCTGCAGCGGGGTCCGTGTCTGGGTGTGAGCCGGAGGCCTGGAAGCTGTTTGTACCCATAAACAAGATACAAAAGCTGAAACAGCGTGGGATACAGGATAGCAAAGGGTGTATTGGTTCAGTTTGAAAGCTCATGACAAGGCAGAAACATTGCCATGGAGAGACCTTATACGAGTAGCTATATACCTTTCATTACTCAACCTTCAAGGGGTATTCATCAGTCAGTCAACTACTCCCGCCTTCCACTAGCCGCACATTTTAATGTTGACGCCTTGCGTCTTGTATTCATTACAAAGTGAAGAGCGCCATCTTGGCGTTTACACACTCTCTCGCACACACACACTTAAAGCGAACGAGGGGGCACGCTTAAGTAACACTCATACGACCCATGCCCCCAACACGACGTGGCGCATACAAGGGGCGCTGAGCGGTGCTGCCAGCTGGCTTCTGCGAAAACACACTCAGAAAGTCTGCACTTTATTTTCTCGAGGCAGACATGCAAATAAACACGAGATAAAAGCAAAGGTAGGGATAAGCAAGAACAAAAAGGTATGTAAGAAGACCGAAAATCGGGATACTCTATGGGGCTCGGCTCAGCTATCCAGGATCCAAGAAGCTCCACATGCCAATAAACAACCAATGCACATCTCACAGGATCTTCCTTATAGCCATTTCCAACAGCTTGACAGTAGCATAAAACCCTCTGAATGAGGGCATGCCAAAGAAGGAGACAAGAGAAAAGGTGTACGAGGTGTCTCTCTGTCTGCTCAAACTATGTTTAAATTAAACATTTCTCAACTAATTAAGCTACAAACAAATTGGAAATTCTTTGTTTTAGCCATTGTGCACAGACGTCCCACCCACCAGGCGAGAGTGGATGGCAATTAATTAGGCGTGAAGCTTTAGTAACCGAAACCGCCCCAAGATTATTGCCATAATTTAGAATGGAGGGAAGGCCGACGGGGGTGGACAGGCATTTAAGCCCCATTGACTCTGTGCTGGCACAGAAGGAGAGTATTCTCAGTAAAACGTGAACTGTGCTGTGCAACCAGGTTGAAACGAAACCCTGAAGCCTCTTGCCCCGTACCATACTACAGGCAGTGGGAGAGCATTGCATTCTGTCTCTGGACGCGACGTGATAAAGTTTACGACAAGCGAGATGAAATTGAACTCGATTCAAGTTAGAACTTCATCTAAAAACAGCCTCGAGAACGATAAAAAATATAATTAAAGGGCAGACAGAAATAGTCGGGGAAGCAGACAGAGAGAAAGCGTAGTAGACAATTATTCTGCTTTTTTTTTCATTGGAAAATAAGTTAAAGAGTGTTCGATGGAGCTATTTCTTCTATATCTTTGTGTGTAATATTTTAACAAAAGAAAAGCCAATTGTCCACGGTAAATATCTCTTCATCAGTGCTTTTTACTTTTGCCCTCTCCCTAGTTTGAGGAACGAGCGTAAAATGAATTACCAATGAAAGGAAAATAAATTCTATTTAATTACTGCATTGCCAACCTGCTTTTAAATACTTTCACTGCCACACGGACACAGATCACCCTCCGCTATAAGCAGTTACTCACTGTTACTTACCTTTATATCGCTGCTGCTGCGGACGACAACATCCTGGCCAGCGCTGTTAGTGGTGGCCGTCATCTGGCCATTGCTTGTGGCCACCAGGTGCACGTTGATGTCGGAGCCGACCAGGTCACCCTTACCTATGTGAGTGGGGGAGAGAATGGCAGCGAGAGAGAGAGAGAGAGAGTGTTAAAGGTCAATCTCGTTAATCGGGGGCACAGCCCCAGCTCAGTGTCTCAGAATCAATGAGCATAAAAATAGAGCCTAGCATTTGTCTAGGGGGCCCAAAGTCGATTTCAATGTCAATGTAGCAGTGGATGATGACAAGGACGATGCCTGCCTTGAATGAATAAACAACCAGATGACTCCCCCGGCCACCATAGTGTCAATGCAGGCAGTGGAAATGGGCAAACAGCCAGAAGCGAATGAACTGACGAAAGTTCAATAAACGCTCAAAGTCGAAACATAAACAGAATCAAAATTTGTCATTTCAAACAATCGATAAATGAATAAAATAAACTAAAATCAAACAAATAAAAAACGCAAATAGAAATGATAAAATAAGGAATGTCGGAATTTTGGATATTTAATTAAATAAAAATGACTTGAAACAAGAGTAAATATTTCTAGAGAGTGGAAAAATTCCATACATATAGTTATTCTCATAAGAATGAAAACAAATTAAATTAGTTTATGCAGAAATGACAAGTAAGGAACATAGCTTCGATAACCGACACATTAGATACCCTGTACGCTTGGAGTTTCTACGACAGATATATGTATATAAATGGCTATACTCGTATCTAAAATGTTCGTAAAAACTGAGAGAATCGGCGACTGTCGATGGTAAATCATGTTGCGATCGACAGGATAATTTTCAAATTATATATGTTATATTATACACTCACCCAAAATGGCCACAACCATATCGTCCTTGATCACCTCCATGGAGCCGTTGCACAGATAGTAGATGTAGTTGAGGGCATCGCCTTTGTGGATTAGATATTCGCCGGGTGCGCAGAAGTTCGTCTTTATGTGCAGCGACAACAGCTTCAGGCAGCCCTGCAACGAGACCACCCCGCAAACAAAATTACAAATACAAAATGGATCCGATTCTGGTCAGCTCGAACAATTGTTGGTTGGGGTCGACTGCTGGATGCCGACTCCTCCTCGATGGCGGTTGCAGGCATTAAGCTCAGCGGTTGCCGCGCTTTATTTGCGCAATGAAACAAAACGACAACAGCTGTGTCCTTGCCCTGAAATGTCCTGCGGTCGCCCACCAACAGCCACCGCGTACCCCTCCCTCTGCTCGCATTTGGCCACGATAAGTGGCTTAGAGCGCGCTTATAACTGTTGAGTGGTTTTTATTTGCACAAACTCTGCCTTACTGAATGGGCTTTATGAATGTTCGCACTCCCCTTTGCGCGCTCACTCTTCCGCTCACTCGACCGCTTTTTGTTTAGATTCGTTTTTGTTTGCGCTCTATTTTATTCAAGTTGCATTTGATTAGGAAGGAGCAGAGTCACGCTCTCCCTCTCTCTCTGAATATATTTGTTATCAACACAATTCTGAATTCACTTTTCTACTTTCACTCTTTAAGAAATTCCCATTTAACCTAGACATCAATTTTGTTCCTTCTTTCAGCAGTCCTGTTCTGAACTGAACTGAACCGTAAATAAGAAATCAATTACTCCGTGAAGGGCAGACCGAAGTAAGGCACACAAAGCGGAGCTTAACTGCACAAGCACCTTCTGCGAAAATCGTGTCCATCAGCAGCCAGCAAAAACACTCACACAAAAAGTCGTAAGGGTCCCATTGCTAGGTAAGCTTTCAGAGGCTGACAAGGGTATTGACATTGGGCATCGTAAACTACTCAACTTTGGCGAACTTCTGTTGCTGCACTCGGATTTTTGCGTACAAATTTTTGCCTAAAACCTTTTTCATGCTCCGCTTCAGACTCTGGCTGGGAAACAGGGCCAAGCTACGCGCATAAATTCGATGTGCCAGAAAGTTTACCTGTGACCAGAAGTCGGTCTATGCGTAGATGTGTACGAGTATGTATGTATGTAACTCGCACGACTATGTACATATGTATGTATGTACGAAGGCAAGCCGCACCTCAATATTTCTGTTAAGCCCGCAGTTGACTTTTGACTGCTCCAGAATCCTCCCCCCCCCAAAGCGACGGCCGTTCGCTCCGCTTTTCTGATTAGTTTGCCATCGTTGCCATTTCGTTCCATTTGTCTGGCCCGAATCGCTTTCAAAGCGTCCTCCTCGTCGACCCCTGAAAGAGAGCATTCACATACCCAGATGTCCCCCACTCACCTGTGAGGCAGCCTCGAATATCGGTAGCTGTAATATTTCACGGTGGAGATGCATGGAGACGTCGCCACGCAGCTCTTCGGGAAATTCGCGTAGCGTCTGAAAGAGGGGGCAAAACCCAAAAAGAAGAAAAGTAAGATGTAGATGTAGATATAAATATATGTATTGAAAGAGTAAGAAGCAGATATAAGCCCACATCTATGCATGTATGTATGTATGTGAGAGCGACAAGCAGTACACGTGAAAATTGAATTGCAAGAAAATTGTAATAGAAATGTTTGGCATCATTTTACTCGGTCACCAGGGAAATGTTGGGCTTTCGCTTTCCCCATATTGCTAGTCATCTGGAATACATATAGCGTACAACCATAAGGGAAAATTAATTTTTAAAAATAATTTTAGCCTCGCTATCGCTCTCAGGGCACGCTCCCAGCAACTACGGAACACTCGAGTGAAGCATAGCAAATAACCAACGGGTCTTAACATGGCAACGAACATTCGTTGTCTTTGTTTTCATTTACTTATATATGTATATACATATGGGCATATATATATATATATTTACATATATGTGTATGTATAGTAATATTTGATAATTGAATCGACAACTTTCTACACTATCTACAATACAGAAGAGCCTATTTTTCCTTTATCCTCTCCTTATCAATCGTTTTCAGGTGTGTGTCGTGTCGTTTCGATTCTTTACATTTTTATTATGCTTCATCTATTTTTAGGCTTGACGCCAGTGATTGTCGGGTGGAAGGAAGTCGTATTGCAAGGAGTTTTAATGGGAAAAATTGCACCCCCTTACATCTCTCTGCTATTACCGCTCCTGTTCACTTCTGTGAATTCCTGTGCTACTTAGTGGGAAATGCGCCCATTGAACTATTTTCCAACTAATTCGAAATATTCATCAAATGACATTTCCAAAGTAATTTTATATGGAATTGTTTAGTCGTAATACAAGATATTCTCCAAATTAAATTTCCACAGAATTGCGGTTTTGGAATTGGTTAGATTATGAGCATGAATCAAATTTAAATCTTTAAATAATTTCTCAGCTCGTGTATCTACATATGAATTTCAATTAACCCCAAATAAGCCTTTATCTATCTCCGCATTTGTGGCCTTTGTAACCGTACCTACCTGTGGAGGGTGCACAGATGAGTATGAATGCATTTTCTACTAATTAATTAATATTGTAAACATTCCTCAAATGACATTTTCAAAGAAATACGGTTGGGGCAGTTCTTTGGCAGTGCCCTGCACCCGAATTTCAATTAAATTGATAAATAGTTTCGGAACTGTTTTATGTTTTCAATTCAATTAATACAAAATGCACCAATGTAAATCAAATTACCGAAGCCACAGGGTCGGTCAGATATTAATTAAAAATTTACTTTTTGCTTGCAAATATTTCGTGAAACTTTCCCACACACATTTATGGTAAAATGTAACGAATATTCAGACAATGGAGGGAACATTCGGGGTAACCACGCATAACAAGGCAGGAAAAATGTTTGAAAGTTTTGTATTCGCTGTGCTTAGGCTTCATTCTTTGAATACCCTTTCATGAGGCATCTTTCCATCTTTTGGTGCACAAATTTAACGCCATACAAGAATATTTAACATAGTTTACGATGCATCTGCAAAGGGCATCTTCATCTTCGGATTCCAAAGTTGGTGTTTAGTTCTTTACTGTTTTTGGGTGTTTCTGCTTGCCCCCGAAAGACCCATTCGCATGGAATTGTTATTTATTCGCTGCCCTCTGCTTCATTGTGCAGAGAAGTGTAAAATATTCTACATTAATTGCGAACACACACACACGCATCGGCCAATAGGCCGAAGCCGAAGCCGTAGCCGTAGCCGAAGCAGATGCTGGTGTTTGGATTGCTGTTTGAAATTGTAGCATGCCAAAGAGCAACGGGGGGCCAGGGAATCCTCTGACGTTTTGCCAGTTAATTTTCATGCGCAATAAATTAACAATTTAATTTACTGCCACAGCCTGCCACTGTGGCACCGCTACTGCTTCTGCCCCATTTTGTTAGCTATAATTTGTGGACTTCATTGGTGCATGTGTGTTTGTATGTTTTCCATGTAATTAAATTTAATTCAATTTGATTCAGACTTTTGAAAATAAGTTTACGAGTGTTGTTGCGTTCACTCCTGGCTAAGTCTATGAAAATGCATGCACAAATTTCTTTAACTAATTCGGTTCCGTAAACGGCCCTTGATTTTTAATCAGCCCAGAGAGTCCATGTGCAATGCCATCGTCCAGCTAACTGGAATACCTTTTGCGGAAAGCTGACAGGAACCGTCAAGTGCTCGGGTGTGCAAACTTCAAAGGCTGTCCGCGCTAATTAATTAGCTGCCCTGAAGCCCCCAAATATGCACTGCACGTGCTCGCTCGCTCCCTGGGTAAACAGACTGAGCCACTGACTTGCAGATATAGCGGAGAAGTTACTTGAAGAGTTTTTAATTAAAGCCATTACAATGAAGCAGGCAGAATGTTGTTTGCCATTGTCCACTGAATTGTGATAACAATTAGCGAGGGGCTGCAGCTTCCGAGTACGTCATTTAATGGTGCCACAAGTTGGGGCAACAAAGTTGTACATCAGCTGCAGCTGTCTAGCACTCTATGAAGTCAGCAAAATGTCAGCCAACAGTTGACCAAAGTTTCACTAAGTTCAAGTTCAAAATAAGTTCAAAAGTTCAAGTTATGAAAAAGTAGCAGCTAACTTCAATATTGACTTCTGATGACCGGCAATCAAAAGATTCCATATAAATATATAAGAAATCGCCTGTCTTTTGTGAATGGAGACTGTTAGATACATCCAGTTCACTCTGCTGCAGTCATTTGCGAAAAAAGTAACTCTTATTCATGCTACGATCCACCTGGTGGAAGCAAACGAGAAAGCCCAGATTGCTGGCCACCGTCCTGGCCGCCTTCTGTTATTCTTTTTGAATTATTGTAATTTCAGAGTTTTAATTAAAATATAGATTCAGTGGCTGAGATATATGTATGTTGCCCAATCATACAATTCGATATTTAATTTTGGTTTTTGTCATGAGTGACAGCAATGGACAGCACTGAAATTCATGTTAAAATACCTGCAAGCTGGCAGCTGAACATGAATGACGTGGATGACCAATCAAAGGATGACCAGGCATTTGCCGTTTAACCCAGTGGCAATCAATAAGTCAGAAATATCCACAGCACAAACCCGAATATATGTGGTAAATGTATTGTGGGTGTGAACCCTATGGGAATTTGCTTAATTAAAAGCCCAGACGTACATATGTATGTATGTACACATATTGGAAATGCCTGGGGCAAGCCACAAGTCCAGCCAGACTGAAGGGCCTGTCCAAAGATTTTCCGCTGCGTCGACAACTCTGCCAATCATTTTTTTTTTTGGGGCGAAAGTATAAATGATTTACGAGACACGCACACAAATGTATGTACATATACTTGTATAGAGAGAGTGAAAGAGAGAGAGAGAGAGAGATGTGTGTGGTATCCCCATGGGACGCAAGGCTTACCTCGTATATGTCAATGCCGTGGCTTAGAGACCAGGATGTCTGGAAGTAATCCTCAATGCGTTGCTTCAGCTCCTTGGGCATCTGAAAAAAGAAATCACAAATTTTAATTGGGTTTGCTTAGTTTGCCCCCTTTACGATCATGGCGGTTAATGAGGTGCACTATCTTCTATCTGCCATCTCTATCTCTATTCATCTCTCCATTCTCCCACCCAGCACTTTTCACTTCATTTGCATGCATTGCGCGGCTTAGGGCTGCACAAATGCGCTTAATTGTGCAGAGCATTGCGTATACGTATGCCTAATGGAGCAACGTGCAAGTTTGTCCTATCATCCACAGGTTGCAGTAGCAGTCCACAGTCTGCCCCAGACTCATACTCACACAAGGGCAGTAGAGGTTGAGTGCAGATATGCTGGAATCAGCAATTCATGGCCTCTCCATGCTCCCTCCCTCAATTGCTGTGCCCAACGTTGCGTGGCATATGGAAAGTGTGCACTGCATTTTAATAAAACCCATCGAGGGCACTTGGGCAAGTTCTAGTGGGGTGACGTCCTGGGGTTTAGTCATTTCCTGTGCGCGTGCGGTTTCAGCTTGAGTGTCTTTCGATGTTCTCAAAAACTCATTCTCGGAATTTAGATGTGGCCCCTATTCCTATTGTTCTTCGATTTACACCAAAGATGGCGGAAACTATCGATTTCTACGTACCCTTTCGCTCTATTTATGCAATAGTTTGCTATATTTCCAATCACACTTACATTATGCAATGCCACAAAATCTTTTAGATCGCGCCACTTGCTCTCGTAGAGGGATCGCCGGGAGTACATGCGCTGAATGATGGCCGTCACATTACCAAAGACCACGGCATGCATCAGAGCTGAATAAAGAAAAATATCCACATAAATATGGAGGAACAATTTGTGCAACAAGGCGGTGTACATACCTCCAATTAGCATCATAATAATGGTGAAGACCTTCTCGCACGTGGTATTGGCGGATACATTGCCGAAGCCCACCGATGTGAGACTGGTAAAGGTGAAGTACAGGGCCGTCGAGTAGGTTTCCGCCGTCGTCAGGATGGCCACAGTGGCATTCTTTCGTTCGGCCAGCAGCTGCAGCCACCCTGTAAAAAATACTGGAGGCATTAAGTACGGAGGGGCGGGGATGGAAGGAAAGCGAAAAGAAAACTGGTTTAGTATTGGAAATTCGGCCAAACAAATTGTGCTAATCAAATTGACAATGACTGGAATTAACTTTCCAACTCCTGGCAGGTCCCCCAGTCACCCCCCCAGTCACAACATTCCATACGCCTCTCCCCTGTGGTAGTCTGTCAGTCATTCAGTTGGGAGTTCGTGCCCAAATCCGGAAAAAGTTCCAAGCACGGACCGGAAACGTCAAACAGAACTTTTTGTGTCTATCCGGCTGGCACTTCGTGCCAAGTAACTGCCAATTTGTGAGAGGATTTTCGCAGGCACAGCTTTCCCCCACGTTGTTGAGCCACCTCCCACAGGCACTTTCAATATGAATTTATTTATGTGTATTTATGTGACTGATAAAGTGCTAGAAATATCATAATAAAAAGTTTCTTTACGCTCTCTGCCTTTGCAGCAAATGTTTTCAATTACAAAGCATTTTGATGATTTGATTTGATGTTCTTTAAACTTTGTGCCAACAAAATATGTACATTAGCCATAGGTTGAAATGATGTACATACATATGGGGGGGAGAGCAGATGTCGAAGGTGATGTGTGGCGCGTGTGTGTCGCCCGAGGGTAGCACCCAGCACCCGGCGAAAGAGACACAAATTCAGTTAGCACCCAGTGAGGCATCCCTTTTCGACTGACCACCCAACCTAACCAAATTACTGGCCATCGTCCACACATGCACACAGGGACCAGTACCAGTACCAGGACCAGGAACGGGACCTTGACACTTACCAATGTTGCTCTCGGGGAACCATTCGTACTCCTTGACCGCTATCACGTACCAGATGCAGGCTAGCCAGTGGGCGGCCAGCGTGAAGGAGAACATCAGCAATGTCAGTATCATGGCCGTGTGCTGCGAGTATCGATCAATTTTTTGCAACAACCTAGCCAAACGCAACAGTCGCGTCAATTTCACAAGATGGATGTGCGACTCCTGTGCACGGTGAGCGGATATGCAAAAAAAAAAAAATCAGGAGTGTTATAGTCGATAGTTACAAACATAAGATACCCTATAATAAGTACTTATACTAGTACTAGCTTATAACTAATCATTCACTCAATGCCCAATGCAATGGGTGGAATAATTATTTGTGTTTTCATTGGTAACATACAAACGTTTCATTGGAAAAGTACTTTACGAATGTGATAAGCAAACGAAAAGTTTCCCATCTCTGAGAGCGAAATATATGCCCTAAGACTCGAGGGTATTGGATAGTGGGCATAAAAAGCGTTGTATTTTGCCGGTAAGGCGGTTCCCTCGAAGGTTATTAAAACGTAAAAGTACAGTGACAAAATACAAACATGTTTCGGGCCAGACTCCGCCTATTCCGCGTTTGGCCATTCATTTTTCTCCGGTTCGGTTGCCGTTTCGGTTTCGCCCACACTTTCGGGCTTCTTATTCAACTTTTCACTTTAATCCTGAACTTTGGTCGCATTTTTAGGGCATCACATTTTCCGTTATGAGTGTATGCACTTGACCTGCGAAGGGTCCACTAAAAAACCAAATTGACAACTTCCGCCGAAGGGACGAAATCAGGCAAAAGGCAAAAAGGATGCCATCAAAAAAGATGAAAATGAAGCTAAAGAGGGGTGTTGAGTGGGAGTGGGAAAGTCTTATGTAAACATAAACAAGCTTATCGGTGGGACGTTGGCTCCCAGAGAGAGAACTTGACCAAATTGAAGGCTAATGCCGTCGTTTAGTTCTACAGCGCCATAAGCGGACATTTTTATTTCTTTTTGTTGATTGCCGCTGACGAAGCGGCATCTTTAAAATGGCATCTAAGTAATGGGGCACGGATTATGTGGTCTGTCCTTCATTCTCCCTCTTTCTCACTCTTTCTCACTCTCTCCCACTCTCTTTCTATCTCTCGTATTTTCTGACTTGCAGCAACAAGTTCCTTAGGTGCGAAAAGGAGAAAATGATTTTAAAAACTTCTTGGCGGAGGCTTTGTGCTGTACTTCCATAGACAGATACCGACTGCGTCGGTTTTCTCTCTTTTATTTATGCAGTCTATACATCTAAATGCACAGACCGTGCGTTTCGGGTTAGTTCAGTCAATAGTTCAGACTCTTATCTATAGTAGTACCTACCCAAGATGTTTTCTATGCCTCAATCTGTTGGAAAATTCGATTATAAACCCAACACTTTTTTATCTTCCGCGAAAATTCCCATAAACTTTCCTTACATTTCTGATACGCACTGTACTGGTGTTCGGCGTGTGTTTTTTGACAAAACATCAAGGGCTGCCACTGGCATTACCACTGCCGCCGCTGGCTGGCAAATTGTGCGGCGCTTTCACTTTCTTTCTTTGCCCTCCACTCACCCAACTCTGCTATCTCGCTACCTCTCTCTCTGCCTCTGCCACCATTCTTCGACTTCCTCTTTCAATGTCCATTTCGTTGCTCAAGTTTTTGCGCTGCCTTGCCCTACGCTCTTTTTGTTTACTCATTACATTGTCTTGGACAGAGACAGCAGCGGCAGAGGCACTGGCACCCACTTTATCAGCAACGGTATTCCTGAATGTAGCATTGAATCTCACAAACACTAAATGTACTTCCACAGCCGATTTCGTGTAGTTTCGTGTTCCTCACGCAATCATACGATCACATTTGGTGTCCATTTCCACTTTCTTACTATTTAATTTATTTCTGAAAGAATATATATTGAAGCACTCTTGAAGCGTGGACAAACCAAAATTCCAAACTATGTATGTCTGTTCAGCAAATTCAAAAAAGTTTCGGAAATACCATTATTGGCATCGTATACACTGTACAGCCTGGCATCCAAAAGGAACAAACAAAAGCGACAGCCTGACGCGTGACTCAACGAAAGTCTCCACGGTTTCAACTTGGTTTCTCTCTTTTCGCTTCTCTTCTCTTTTACTGACTGACTGCCTTTTTGGGGTCCCAAAGATAATTAAAACTTTGAAATAAACTAAATATGAAAAAGTTTCAAGTGCATTAGCTCAAATTGTATGCAAAGCGATGAAGTGCTAGTACAAAAAAACGAATATGAAAGTATAAATGTATAGATGTATAAAAATCTAAAAGTTTCGAGTCCACAATACATTCACAAATTACTTTTGCTATTCTGGTTGTTCTGTTCCGAAGAAGCGGGATGCGAGCGTTCTAGCGAGGGTTCTGTTCTGTCAATTAGAGTATATTAAAGTTCTATTGAAACTTTCTGTATCAGTTTTGGCCAGAAGACAGCGGGCCAAGTGTCAGCTTTAACCTTTTGGTTGCCCTTGGAGCCGACTATGGAAAGGGCAAGGAGGCTTTCATTTGCTCAGAGCAACGAAAGCGGAAGCTGGCAACGAAACCGCTAAGTAAACCGCAGCAAATGTCATAATGTGTTTCCTATGACGCAGCAGAAAATATAAATCAATAAAAAACAGAATTTTACTTTTTAAACAGAATTTAACAGAAATGATAATCCAGTATTGTTGGTTGTCCCGGTCCCACCTCGCAGGATATCCTTGAAATGTCAATGAAGGCTGCGACAGCATTTCCTGCTCGCACAATCACAAGCGCTGTCCACTTCACAGGGAACTCAAAAGATACAACACAGAAAGAAAGACAAAGAAAAGAAATACAGAACAAGGAGCCATTTCTACTGAGCTTTAGAACCGAGACTTTCGATACCCTAGCAGACTAATTGTGAAGAAACACATTTAACAATCACATGATATGGTAATCTGATGTTGCCTTTTCCCTCTTTTATGTATCTCAATGTCTACAGCAATGGTATACATAAATACCCATTTTTCATGAGTTTCATATGCATTCATAAAAATAACTTTAAAAGCCATGAAAGACGATGCAAGCTATATCCGCTTTATATGGGGCCCGGAAATACTCTTTTCCCTCTTTTTGCTAAATCTGGCCAGAGTCGTAATACCCTGTGACTGGGTATATAAAGCGAAAAGTAAAAGCAAAATAACGTAAGCCGTTGCGTTGCCTCACGAGCGGCGGCTTTGTCCGTGTCTGTCGCACCACAACTGCTCGAGGGTCGAGTGCTGTTCCCAGTGTTTCCTGGCATGGTATGGTCTCCTCTGCTCTGCTCTGCTGGACAGTGGCGATGTCGTACTACCATTAACTGCACTTTAAGCTTTAGGGCATCAAGGTCCTGGCACTACTATTCAAGGGCAGACTGTTTTGGGCTTGGAATAGGCATTACTTTTAGTGCACATTTGGGTCACGGCCTTGTCTACTACTTGCCTACTTAACCTGTGCGAGTAATTACAGCAAAAGCCAGCTCTGTCCGGGAACAGTTTGGCCAATTTAATCGGCTTAATGAGTGCCAGCTGCAAAACTTAAATGATCAAGTGCCATCCGAAATGGGGTTGTGAAATGGTAATTGACTATTAAATCCTTTTGCAAGAATTCACTAAATTTAAAATATAACATCAAATGAGATAATAACACGAGCAGAGCAGGAAGGTCGATCATACGCATAGCTTGAATGCAGCTATGGAATACTAAAAGGAATATGCAACAACGCCAAGTGCAATAAAGGTCTCGTGGTCGTTGTCGCGCTTTTCAGAATGACATTATTGCATTTGGCATTATTGCATGCATTGAATTTAATATGTAAAAGGTGAGACATACCTCTCGCTTATTGCCGTTCAATACGTGGCAGACACGCAGAACAAGACGCACTGAATGGCCGGAAAGCCTCATGTTTATATCACACAAACATACATACATATATCATAGATATGCATATCACTTCTTAATTGTGTTGATTTCACTCTCTCCGTTTCTCTTTTTACTGAAATCAGTAGCTGCACAAATCTTTTACGCATATAAATGTACATATGTATGAGCATGCCACATACTGCTCTTTAATTTAATCCTTTTTTCCCACTGTTTGTAGAAGCCTAAGCTGTGCGAGGTAGAGTAATGTAAAGCTTTTTGTTCATGTTCAAACTGAATGTTAATCACCACCACACAGTGCCATGCTAATAAGATAACTCTATTATTCCGCACCACACCATTCACTTTTCAACATAATCGGATTTGGGAGCCAGTTCTTAAAATGGTGAACTTCCGAATATGCATTATGCATGTGGCCGAAACAGTTTTATGCAAATCTTTTAAGTCCATTTACCACTGGAAACTCTGGCCATAAATGATTAATGTCATGGGTCTGTGGGGCCAGAAAAGTCAAGAATGGCACGCCGCAATAGCATTTCAGAATTTCATCCAACAATTTGTTCAAACTTCGAGCAAAAATACTTGTGGTATGTACATACATATGTAGTTATATATTTAAGTGGGAGGGTATTGGTTGGTACTAAATAATCGCAGTCAAGGGCAAAAGTAGTCCATCATCTTATCAGTGGCACAACTTCTTAAATAAAACACCTAAATATATAATGCAAAACTGGCATTTATATTCAAAGCCCACTGGCGGCAGCATTCATGCAACTGCTGCTTTCAGGCGTAAGGATTACTCACCTCGCCGTCATACAAATCGGAGGCATACAGATGATCAAAGGGCAAAGCGGCGAGCAGGTCCAGGGCAAACCAGCCTCGGAAGTAATTGATGGCAATCTGCTTGGAATTGGACACGACCTCACCTTTGCGCGAGACGAAGGTCGTGCGGAAGTTCAGCAGAATATCTGCAATAAAACGCCAATAAAGGTAAACGGTGAAACAATGGTCGACAGATAAATGTTTATAAGCCTCGCAGCAGCAGCGAGACAAATTCAATTTCTCTTTCCTTCCCCAATGGATGCAGGCAGCAGGTCCAATCATCATAATGATGATGATGATTGTTGCTCCTGGTTTGTGTCCTCTTGTCTGGCGTCCGAACAACAGGTTGCCCATAAAAAAGGGCAACAATGTCCAAGTTGAGTGGGACTCTCTCTATATATATATGCTTGTGTGTGTGTGTGTGTCTGTCAATGGGGGGAAAAACTCACCTACTATGAAAAGCGCCTCCACAATGACATCCGAGACCATCGTCTGGCGATCCGCTTTGGCAAATGCTGCATTGTAGGGCACCATTAGGGCCACATAGAAGGTGGCCAGAAGTATGACCCAGTCCCAGAAGCCTTTGAATACACCGTAATGGGGCAGAATCAAGCGTGACTTTTTTATCGATTGTGTTTTGTATTCGGGAAACGGAGCCTCGGTTGAATGCATAAAGTTCTGCAAAAGAGAAACGTAGAAAACCAAATCCCAAAATGACATGAAAAGTGAATTAAATAAATACGGCAGGGCACAGCGATTATTTGGCAACGAATTTTAATTACGTTAAATGAAAAGTCCCCCACCTCTGAAACTTTATCAAAGAATAGCAACAGCAGCAGCAGCAGAAACAACAACAACAAAAACCCCGTGCACCAACAACAACAAAGATCGACATCAAAAGGTTTGATTTCATTTAACGTGCAAAGCAACGGTGTTGGCTTTGTGGCTGCTGCTGCTGATGCTGCTGCTGCTTCTGGTGCTGGTTGGCTATACGGTTAATCATCCTCCGGGTATCATACTCACATTGCCCAGCTTCAATTTGGTTTTGACACCACCCTTTTCGGGCTTGTAGTGCCCCGAGAGTTGGTACAATACCGCACGACTGCGTCTACGTCCCATGTTGCAGCCTGCAGGCACATCCAAATTGTTGCCCTCTCCGGCCTCCACATCGCCATCGCTATCCGTGGGACCGCCCAGTCCAGGCAGGCCGCCCAGGCCCAGCATTCCGGCATTGGACCCGGCCCGGAACCGAGCGCCCAACAGTGCAGCTGTAAGGGCAAAAACTTACAGAGTCGCAACAAAAAACCCAAACAAAATAATGAGGAAAAATGAGCGAGCGTAACGTTAGCGTGACAGGAGAGAGGGAAGGAAAAGGATTGGGTGTCGTTGGGGTATACGAGTTGGTTTTTCGGGGTTTTTATAATTACAATGATTTACCGGATCGGTGTTAAGAGAAGAAAGAGCACAAAGAAAGAGAACACATAGAATTGTACACATAAGACACGGTGAATTCAATTTAATTTCAAGTTTATGGTTTTCTTATTTAATTCATATGGTTTTGTTTTTTATTTGCACCTGTACATCAGGGTGTAGGGGGGGGACAAATGGTGTTTAGTTTACTTTTCATTTTTAAGGCCTGTGCGAGATGCGTGTGTGAAGTGAGAGAAGTGAAGTGAAGAGTGCCGCTAGTGTGTGTTTGTGTATCACTCAGTGTGTCTCCCTTTTGCTCGGCTATGCTGCTATATGTAGCATGTACATATATGGCAATTGGATGCATATTATGTACCCCTATTCAATTGCAGATCCTTTCAATTGAAAGCTCTGATTTCAGACCTTAACAATTTAATTATTGCCTGTTTTTGTGTTGGTCAAATATTTAAACAGCCTCGGACATTCCGGGAAATGTAGCGAGTAAACAGCACATTGTATAGCCCAAGCCCACCCTGAATACAATACGATAAGAATGTACTCCCATGCACATCCAATATCCCCCCACGATAGTCCATAATTTGTTTTGTAAACAATTCAAACTCGTAGGAGGAATGGAGCCGCCGAAACCACAAAGCAAGCTCATTAAATTGAACTTAATTCTATTTGGGGCGAACCGCAAATACAGGCTCTAGCTGTGAGGCATGCGACATGCAATAAATTACAATTAGGTTGATTGTGAAAAATAGCCCCAAAATGAATTTCATGCGTTTCCCATCGCAGAGTATACTAATTATTACATAAAAAGGATAACAAAATTATGCAAATAAAAAAACAGAACCCAGCCGAACTAAACCCAACTGAGCAGAAACGTTTCCTCATCTGCATTTTTGTTTTCCAGAGGTGACTATAAATTTGATTTCAATTTTGAGTCCCGCCCACAGTCCAGTCCAAGTCCGGTTGGGACCTTTTCAGACTTCTGCCGTCATATCAAAATGCCAATTAAGCTCCGTCCGGCACCTCCGTGAACCGTTACCAAGGCAGCAACAAATACAGTACCAGACAAAAAAAAAAAGGTCAACAAAAAGGAACTTAGAAACAAAAACAAAATGGGAACTTCCAACGATGCTTACGCTCAATGCATACCAAAATATGTACCTACACATACATGCATACATACATATATACATACATACAAATTTATGTAATTTTTATGAGAGCAAAAAAACGTCTCGTAAAGACGTGGAATACTTTAACGTAAGACTCTAAAAGCAAAGTATTCGAGTGTCAAAACAGTGATGGCAGTCAGAGTGGCAGTCAGAGTGAGGCCTAATGATGTGTGAAACGACGGTCATCGTCATCATTATCACTGTCACTGTCAAGGCGATAACGATGATAACGATAATTATGACTTGAAATCTACCTCATCAAAATCAGCTTTACCATTAGTCGTCCATATTCTCCGCCTAATTACCTTTCCACCACCAGTCCATCCATCCCATTGTGGGGCCTTTGTCACAACATTAATTCCCAATTGATGTGGATCAGTACTCAACATTTTCCAGCCTGCCTAGCTCTGCCGGAAATCGAGTTTATCAAGGCTTGTTGGCTGTGATTTAATTTCATTTGCATAAATTAACCAAAATTTAATAAGTCCCAGCAAACAGCTGAGGTCTCCTCAGCCACAGTCTCGACTTAAATCTCAGTCTGGGAACAAGATGATTAGCAAATAAATTTGTAGTCAATTGCATTTCGGCCGTTTCTGGCCGTTTGCTTGTGGCATTCAGTAGACAATCTAATGCAATTCATTACAGAACGTTCTCTGTCATGGAAATGTGTGTTTGTGTTTGCCGTCGGCACTAAATATTTAAAGCTTCACCTTCAGGGCCCTAGTGAGAGGAGCTCTATGCTCTGGATGTTAAAAGTCGAGAGGGCATTTGTGCTGACCACTAAATCCTCTTAGAATGCATCTAACCGGGCTTCAAGTGGCTGTAGCACTTCTGCATGAACTGTGCCACTGACGAGTCACTGATAGACAGCCAGCACATGCATATGTGGAAGCCCAGAAGCACATAAATAACGATGGCTATCAAGCTACCAGGGAAAGCAGAGGAGAGGTCAGGAGCCAGACACACTTTTTTTACCTTCAAATAACCCTGAATCCCCCAAAGAGTTCGCAGAAAGTGATACGCGTACCCAAAACCCTCGACGTCCAAAGTAAGTTGCGATTCTGTCAGAATGGTTGGAGCTGTGCATCAATATTTTAGGCACCTTTGTGCGCCCCGGGCCCGACACACGTGTGTGTCCAACTTTTTTGTCTGACTAATTCCCTGAATTAAGCAGCTGGCATATTTGATGTCGCTCAACCGGAAAACAACTCGGAAAAGCGCTACAAAGACATTTCCAGATAAAAGCATCCGAACTGTGTGCCAAATCATTTTAATTAAGGTAAAAGCGTGGATTGGACGCCTGTATGAAAGTTTGATGCCCCTGAGGAATACTGCGAATAGACTAAATTTCTATTGATATTACCAAGCAGAAATTGCGAATACTCAAACTGCAGTATTTATCAGAAGTAAACAACAAATCAATAAAGTGCCAACCAAAATTTTACTCCAGAATTTAAATTTGTGATACATAGAGATAATTAGCATTACGAATTCATTCAGATTAAAAGTAATCTGCAACATCCGGTTTTACTTCAACTGGCAGCCACGAAAACCCTCTGCATGGCCACAAATCAGGGTGTAGCCAGCCTTAAAGCTCACATAAAAAATCAAGGCAAAGCCGCATTTAAATTAATGTTGAAATATAGTGCGCATACATTCAGCTGTCAGAGACACGCGCCGACAAAGTCAAAAGGTACGCCACAAGCCAACCCACGAACATTCCCAGCCAGCAAAAACTAACCGAAAACTCGCTTTCCACCACGCTAAAGGCGGGAGTTTTCTGCAGGAGTTAACAGAAAACCGAGCGCAAAGGATGGACACGCAGCTCGTAAATAAACCATGAACCATAGTCTGACAGAAATGTAGATGCGCTTATGTTTGTGAAACATATTTTCTTCCAGACAGTAGACCGTATCGGTGACTTCCATGTATCTTCTATTGCCCGCCCTGTTTACTATCAAAGTGTTGAGTAGCTATCTGTATGTGCTTCTCGTGTGCCCCCTGGTTTAAGTGTTAATCTGTGGCAATGTGCTCGCACGAGGCAGAGGTGGAGTTAGTTTGGGGAGGGTGTTTAGTAAGTGCATTATGAACATACATACATACATACTTGTACATGTATGTCCGACAAACTGAATTTAACCTCGTTTACCAATCGAATATACCTGTTGGGAGAGTACTTACCGCTATCACATTCCTCGTTCACGTTCATCTCGAGCATCTTGGTGTGGGTGATATCCTTGTGGGAGGCCAGAAAGAGGACCACATCGCGCTTTTCGTTCTTAATGGGCACAAGGTCGAAGAGGCACCAGAACGGAGCACCTGCAAAGCGAGTGAGAATACAGAAAGAGTACCCGTTAATTATTCATCAATCACTGGACTATTTTTAGCATATATTTATAGCAATTTCCCCTGCCGGATGCTGCGGTGGACGTGGCTGCTATTGATTATAGCTTGCAACCTCAATGCAAATGAGATTGGCTTTGAATGCGACCTACATTCCGCCGAAGGCTTGACCTAATTTCTAATTAGCTGGTAAATGCTTTTAAAGTGCGCTGAAATTAATAAATAAATAAATTACATGTCAACTCGATTAGACCACAGTTATTGTGTGGGCTGCATTTAAATTAGCTTTCTTAATGATACACTATACAGACCACAGCCGCCCTGATCATGACTCCCCCGTGTCTGCTACCAAGCTGATGCATAATTAATAATATTCCACAGGACTGGGAATGGGCTAAGGCGTGGTCTCCCCGTAGTCTGTTAAAAGTTTTAAACGTTCCGCTAATTAGAAAACTTATACTCCCAAGCACCCAATGATGGATATATGTATGTATCCTTCTCAGAGGATACTCTGTCCTTTGATTAATCGTGACCTCATTAGGGGACAAAATGCCGCGCAAGGGACGTGAGAAAATGTTTGAGTGCAAAATGTATTGTATACACAGCATGTCAGCGGGGGAATGGATTTGAGTGGAGTCCTGCGAGGCGAACCCCCATCTGAGAGCGCAGGGGGAGCAACTAGTTCAAGTCTGTCTCTTGCTTAACTCAATCAGGAACAGGGTTCCCCCCACTTCGTCTTTCTGACTGCCTCGGTGAGTGACTCTCTTAAATTACAAGTCAAAGACAAAACTGAGAAAAGCTCTACTCGGTAAGGGGTCAGGGATGGGGAATAAGACTGTTGCTGTGGCTGTGGCTCTGTCTCTGCGGTAGCTGGGGCTGTGGCTGTGGTTCTCTTGTCAGACAGTTAAACTCTGCAGGTGATACTACCACATAAATACAATTGGTTGTCGACTTTTCACTCTTGTGCAGTAATAATCCTTTGTGCGCCTCAAGAAAAGCTTAAATATATTTCTTTTGTCTGTATATGGACCAAACGGTGATAGCGTTACGGTGTGATTAATTGAAGAGAGAAAGACAGTTTAGTTGTCTGCTAAGGCAATGCCATACCCTGCATAAATCACAAATCCTTGCTCACCAGCTTAACGTGCTTGTTTGTTTTGCATTCCTCTTGGCCTTTTTTTTTCTTCAAAAAATCAATGGATGTACGATCTTGTTTTTGCACAGACAAGCTTCTGCAATGTGCAAATGTATGTATTTGCAGTACAGCAGCCGATGGTGAAACAAAAATGGTATTAATGTTCGAACGAATAAGCTGCACGGAGTCGAGACTACGAGACGCAGAGACTAAGCTGCTGGAGGGTACATAAGTTTCCAGAGGGTGAACAGTGAGTTGTTTTGCTTTAATTTTTCTTTTTTCAATTCATTTGTCGTTAAGTTCTGTAGCTTTTCAGTGATTATTTGCCAGACCATCGGACAACCGCAAGCCAAAAACATAATTTCCTTTTTGTTAGTCACGAATTATGACACTCTCCCGGCAGGAAAGCGTCCCGGCACCTACATAGCTCTCATTTTCATGAAATTTTTAATTAAAATACAAAAGAACAAAACACAAAGCAAAACAAAATTAGAGAAACAAAACAATTTTCAAAACATTCGCGCATATTGTAATTTTCCCATCCCCAACAAACCCCCCTCTGGACTGGCGCTGACTTACCTTCTTTCTTGTAGAAAATCACCTCGAGCTTCAGTTCCATTTTGGCGGAGAGGCTTTTCTCAATTTGCTGTTTGTGCTCATCCTTCGTATCCGGTCCATAGAGGAAATGACATGAGCAGCCTGTTTCGTGTTGTGCAAACACAATTGAATACAATTGTACAATACATTCCAATGAGTATTCAAGTGTTAAATAAGTTGGGGCTGTCCTCGTACTGGTCCTGTTCAGTTCTGTTCGGTACGGTTCGGTTCTGTTCTGTTCTGTTCTGTATACAGTCCTACAGTGTTTTGTCCTTACCCTTTTGCATAATTTGAGCGCGTGAATATCCTGTCAAATCCACGAACCCATCCGAGCAATAAACAATTGGATTGCCATTTGCCTGCGCATTGCCGAGCACAAAGTTCGAGTCTGTAAAGGGAAACCGACAGGAAGAATGGGGTTTAACAAGTAGAAGAACAATTGAGCCAGGAAAGCAGATGGAAATGGAAATGAAGTTGGAAATGTTGTGGGTATGGGTCTGGGTGATATTCAGCCGCATTTCATTTGTCAAGAAATATTGTCCGAACAAATAAGCAGCAATGAGACCAGTCCTGCTGGGCCCTAATAAACACCAATGCCCCCTCACTCTAGAAGGAGCTTTGGTTTATAGGGAAAATTATACTGTACCGCTGCCTCGTTCAAATATATGTATAAATAGAAATTCCCATCTCCATTATGGTTTCTTGACTATTCTCACTTGTTTTAGTATTTTTGCAAGCACAGGAATACTACCTCAAACTCTGAACCAACAAAATTTAATTAAATTTCACCACCACATCCGACACATGCAAGCTGCACAAAATGAAATTCTTTTAGACAATTCTGTTCGTTGTCCTTTACAGATAAATAGAGAAAGAAAGAGAGATGGGTAGGAATAAATCCACCTGAAGGTTGCCAAAGATTTTTATTCGAACTTGACAAAGTGCAGGGATTCTTCAATCCTTGCATTTATTTTTAGATTACAAAAGAATACAATAAGCCTCCCTTCTTTTCAGAGTCTCAAATCACATTTGGAAAGCCATACATACATGCATACATACATGCATACATACATGCATACATACATGCATACATACATGCATACATAAATGCATACATACATATAACTGAGAGTCTATGAATAGAGCATTTCAGGATTATAATTGCCAGCACAATGGACAGACAAAGCCCGGAGACATCTGTGTCTGAAAGAAATATAATTGAACAGGAAAAAGCAAGCCCAATGAATGGCAGCCCAGATTGAGGACTCAAAAGTCGTAAAATGAAGTCAATTTACATAGATGTGTAAAGTAATTGCATTTAGAGTGTATGTAATCAAATTTCTTGGATATCTAAACCAATTACTGTTCTTTATTGGGTGCACAATAGTTGGCGTGACCTTCTAATTGCCGTTTCCGTTTCGTTACCTGAAAGTGCATCCATTTCAATGGACAATTGAGTGGACAACAGGGAACTATGCGAGTAATTGCTTGAAATCCAAACCACTTTGTCAAGTCTAGTGTTACACCAAAGCTTTTAATGCTTGTCGAATGAAACCTATAAATTTTATCACGCATTAGCACGCATCTCTTTCACACAGTGAGAAATACACACAAACAAATTAACGTTTTTTCTGCCATTATTTGCTAATTGCCGTTTGCTGTTTTTACGGGACCATTTACTGAATGTCAGGAGAAGCCGACAGGAAACTATAAATTGATTTTAAAATACCTTTTTTTTTGCGCCCACTGGCCACGGCCAAACAAATTGGCCCTATGTGTTGCATTGATCCAAGATTCTCCTATGAGTGAATATTGAATAGTAGATACTCGCCATTGCTAAGTAAGTTAACAGTTCTTCAGGCATTTCCACAGCACTGACATTGCGTATATTGAACTGAAACATTCCACAGATCCTTCTGTTTATATGCATCACGGAATATATTCATCGGATCCGGCAATTTCACATAAGTAACACCTACATATGTAAATATGTACCTTGAGAGTTTATCAAAAGTTATTCAAATTCATATAATTATATCAAAGAGCTTTGATATTAACGATGAATCTGCCAGGGTATCAAGAACTTCGTATCCAAGCACTAAATAAGTTTACTTTTGTATTTTTGTTTGAGTTACGAGTAAGTGTTTTGAGGCTGCCGTTGGCGGCATAAACAGAGACGGAGCGAGGGAGAAATAGCAGCACACAGCCAGAGCCAGGGGCTTAGTTGACTCGACTCCTGCTCATTTAATATGCTCATTTTATTATTTATGCCTCGTAAAACCTTTTTAATCCCCCCCGTTGGCTAAGTGTGGGGGGCAAAAGTTCATTTCATGTTCAGAATTTGTGACAACTCGTAAAGACAATTATCGCCATCCAACTGTTGGTGTATGTGCGTGAAAGAGGATTGAAAAAAAAAAAACAAAACAAAAAACAATTAACTTATTTGACGGGAGGCCGACATCCTGCTTGTACCTACACGTGTGTGTCCCGTCATCGCTTGACACGGAGGAAAGGTATGTAATTTCATTTGGCTGTCATCGGCAGAGAGAAAACCAAGCCACAGATACTTTTTGCCATTCGTACTACTTAATCGATGCTCCCACAAAGATTCAATCACTTTTTGTTGTCAGAGAGGAAGCAAGGGAAAAAGTGTTCTCTGTGTAAACATTTTCTTATTTTCTGTTTTCTGATTAATACGGCTTTGCTTCATTACCCCACGAAAGTAAATGAAGATGGAGAAGAAAAGTTGGAGGACGATTGAACGCTAAAAGATGAAGAACTAAATGATGATGGGAGGGAGACGGGGGCTTAAAATAATAGCCACATGCCAAAGGCAGCCAAACAATTGCACAGTTTAATTTACTGTAAAGCATTTTTTCTCAATGGAAAAGGCTCTTTTGAGGATTCTTCTCCGTTGCCCGTTGCGTTGCCAAAGCGACGCGGACCGTTCGAGAGGCTGTCATGGAGAAAGATAGGCAGTGAAATTACACTGAAAAAACTAATTAGCTCAAAAGTGTGGTACTTTTTTAATTCATTCAATAGTTGTGCTTTTACTCTTCTTGGCATATAGCGCCTCACACAAAGTCTTCAAGGCGATGTTTCTCTTCTTGGAAATCTACTTTTAAAATTTCCAAATAATTAAACTTTTTAAAAAATTTTTTTTATTTAATTTTTTGCGAAGCTCGAATAAAATTTCAAATGTAGATAAAATTCCTGTGAATTTTATAGACAGAACAAATATTTTTGTATGTGTACTCTGCCGCCCATATACACATAGTTTTAATTTCCCACTCGGGAGGGGAATTTCGCCAGCTTTATGTGCTGATTTCAATATGGATAAATTCCCCTCTTCTGCCATCCATCCACCCACACACGTAAACACACAGACGCAGAGACGCAACAATTTGTGCTTTAACGGCAGTTTTCCCAATACGCAAGCACTTAACAGACAGTGGTCCCTGTCCCCCGATGCCCAGCAGGAGATCAAGGGAAAACGGCAGGACCCGGTTCCGCACACGGTCAGGGACTAGAATACGGACTGGCTGAAAATCTCTTATGTGGATTTTTTTACGAGATGCCCGAAATGCCAGCATTTGACTTAAGCACACTTTCTCTTGCTCTCCGTACATATGTACCTAAATCTGTCTATGGTAGCTCCATTTTGCATGTACATATCTCCCCCTGCCTATGGGTGGATCTCAATAAAAAAGTGTCATAAATATAAAATATACATATGTATCGTATATAAAGTGGATCCCGAGATCGAAGACATGGGATCCCAGACCGAGGGAATCGCTTAGTATTTCACTTACGCGTGCCATCGAAACGGGTGGCGATGGTGTCCAGAAATGTGTTTTGGGGCGCTAACAGCCCCTTGCGCGCTGGCATGGGAATGGTGAGGCCGGTGCGCTTATAGAAGCGCTGCTTCGGTCGTGGCAATGCTGCAAAGATACACAAAAGATAGAGAACATGTGTTTTATTATATGTGTACATTTTTATATATTTATTTTATAATTGGCTTTTTCCTTTCATACCCATCGCATTGTTGTTGCCGCTGCGATGTGTTCTCATTTATGTAAATTTATGTGCATGCAAATATTATTGTTCCACACTTTTTTACACGACAGACAGACACTGAACTAATATGGGAAACATTTCGATTCCGTTTAATGCGATGGGAAACTCCAACAACAAGTCCCGACCACAAACAAATTGGAAATATGTACATCAATAGCGGTTTTTCCGTATTGGTAGTTTATATCATCAGTCCGCAGGCCAACTAAGGTGCGTGGTCGTGTTCGTGTATGTAGGTGTTAATGTTAATTGGTAAGAACAACAAGCAACAAAGCTAAGGCAACGACGGCAGTTATACCCTTTCGGATCCATCGTTTACTATGGCAACTAAATCTCATTATTTGCCTCGAACGATGATCAGGAATTTATGTACAAACCAATACCAATACCAATGAATGCATAAGTAAATAATAATACTCTCTGTAAGGGTATTCAAATACCAGGAATAGAGACAGCCAAGCCACTATTAACTGCCGTCGCAGCAGCAATAGCAAATAACAGCAACAGCAACAGCTGCTGATGTATTTTCGTGGAACGAATGTGGGGAAAATGACAAAAAGTCAAAGTGCGATAAGAGCACGTTGAATGTGAATCGCTGTCGTCACAGGGGGGGCATGCATTAGGGCGATGCAGGAAGCAGGAAGCAGAACAAATTGAATTTCTAAGCAAAATAAATGGGAGAACAGGACGTTTCCCTTGTTCACTTATTCTGTAAAGGTCGCTCCGGAACTGCAAAGTGCGGAACTCTTTCATCTTTCATCATTGCATAGATTGAATAAGAGCGAAAACACAAGGCTCCCCCCCACCTTCACATTGTAACTGACGCAAAAGAAGACTGCAACCCGAAGTCGGTGTAAAATATTTGTTACACTATGGGTCAAGAATATCCTGCATACTTACAATGGCACAATGAAGCAGATGTGGGTTACTTTGGTGCATCGAAGTTTCTATTTCCAGTAGTTAGACATCCACTAAAAAGGGAAAGACACTTTTCTTTTAGCTTGTGTGCTTGGCTCACCCTACCACCACCCTCATTCATGTTAGGTTTGCCTGATAACGCATTCGAGGCACCGATAAAGAATTTCGCAATTGACTGTCGACTATCCCCAATGGCAGATGCAGCCCTTAACCGGTGCGCAAATTTCGTTAGACCGAAAATGCAATCTCGATTAATATGCCATTACATAGAAGAGAACCGATCAGTCCTTGCTTTGCCCACACACAGAGGCACATTGCATGGGCGGCAGGTCATATGTGAAGGATATGCGCAATATGGATGTTGGGTTAGACCGCAAAATTTTCATTTCCAACATTTCCGCAACAGCCTGCCGAGTGGTTGTGTCAAGGGGGCTGGGCCCAGCGGGCGGCAGTCACATATGATTTCTGGTAAGTTTGGTAAGCCTCAGGACACACACAAACGGCTATGTGTGTGTGCCATTTCCGTTTCCGACTTATTCCACGTGATTAAGCTGATGCTACTCGGCAGCTGCTCTTTCACGCTCTTTTCCTCGACGAGGATGCACAGCACTCAAGTTTCTTTGGCAAACATGGGTTTTGCATAAAATAATCAATGCGAGTATACGGCAAACAACAAACAAACCACAAAGTGAATTTCCAATTCCATAAATGAAATTCCACTAAAATTGCATTCAACACTGCGTATATCTCGGAAATAAATAGCTTTTCAAACATCCAAATAGTCTGCAAAAAACCAATTTCCAATACAAAATGCTTCATATTGATTGGTGTTTTTTTGTTCGATTATATGCAGACTTTGAACAATTTCAATAAAACAATTTTTTTCTAGTTTTGTGTAGCTGTGTTTGTTGTTGTTGTTTTTTTTTTATGCATGCACTTTATGTAGATTAAAATTCTGTGGTTATTTGTACACAATTGATATGCAGTGCATGGTACCACAGATTTTCAAAGGAAAGCCATTGAATATCCAGAGCTAAGCTAGAAACGAAGCCACCAGGAGAACAATATGAGTTTAAAAAAGAGGTATGTAGACAAGTCTAAAGTTTATAAGCTACGTTTTTCATACCTCCTTTTAAAGAGCTCGAGTTCTATTGAAACTAAAGCCTGCCGAACACTGGACAAACAAGTGTCACGTGCTTTGTGTACAGTAGGGTTAAGCTGAGCCATGTATTAGGTTTAAAATGAGTTTAAATATGAAACTTGGGCAGATCTGCCAGACAACCCAACAGTTGAGTTGCATGACTGCTTAACCATCTTGTAGCATCGTTACTGGAGTCTTTAACCCAACGTTAAATCAAACTTAAGCGGAGGTTTTTCGTACTCTTCTGCCGAATCAATAATTGCACACTGATAGGACTAGGATTTTATAATCCTAATGGTCCACCTTAGAACAAAATCGTTTCCAGTAACAAAAAAAAAATGTCCAAGTAAAAGTATTTCCCAGAATTGCTTGAAGAACAGAACAGCAACAGCATGAAAACCGTATCCGTAATACGATGTGGGCCCAGGGGTCTGAAAATGAAATAATCTTTAAAGCAGATTAAAAAGCCAACTAAATTCTGACTCGTGTGGCATCTACCCTTGTCGCCTACCACCTGCCCCCTGTCCAGCGTTCATTTAAGCAAATTTGGCCAGGAGCTCGGAGGAGGAGACACCTAATAACCAGCGTTAAGACGAAATCGCCTTGTAAGAGGACGAAACGAGTTTGGAATTTTTAATTCCGTCTTCCGCATGTGGCAGCTGAGAACGGCACGTGCCCCATAAAACAGAATATGGGTGTGCAAAGGCCAGTAAGGGGGAAATGTGGAAATACGATAATATGCTTTTGGCATTTCCATGGGCAAACGCACACTTAGCTGACCAATAGCCAGGGAATTGAATGCTGTAGAATGGAAGCCAAAACGTAACTAAATTGGCCTCCCCAATTTTATTCCATCTTCTTGCCACATGCCACTCGGATCAGGGATTCATCAGTCGTCTGCGGTATCCTTTTTGGAACTGCGTCGCCGCTGCACCCGACTCTGGATGAACCCTCGGATCAGTTTGTTCCCATTTGACAGGAACTCGAACCACAGGTTCATGTCAGCCTCAAAGTTGAAGGCGGGCAGGGCCTGCATATCGGATCGGAATCCCCGCACATAATACATCACATCCTTTGGCCAGGGACACCGCTTCGGGACATTGCTAAACCGATCCATGCGCTCACGTCCCAGCTGAATGAAGACGATCTGATTCTTGTTCGAGAGCAGGCTGCAGCCATCGATGCCAGTGAGATTGAACAGGGTGAAGTCTTCGCCCTTGTTGCGCGGCAAGACGATCCGCATGTTCACCTGAAACCGGACCACCGGCTGGCGGAACATTAGCTCAATGTTAAAGGAGGGACGACGGACGCTCTTGCTTAGGCCGCACTTCAGGTGCGACAGCATCCCCTCGGGATCCTCGCTGGCGCACGTGCAGTTCGTGAAAATCATATCAAAGTTGGCCTGCGGGGGAATCCATATTCATTTGAATTTCAATTTATGGAATATTCCTCAGGCTATACATCACCTTGCTCCTGGCTCCCTGCTGGAGACCCGCAAAGATGAGCAAAAATATTGCGCCGAATTTGAGAGACATTAAATCGCAACCGAAAACAAATTCCAAATGGAAATATACGAACAATTTTTGTCCAAAAAATAATTACAAATTCCTTCTAATCCCCTTGACTAATTACTCTCATTTGTTATAACTGATTTTTAACAACTTATTTTAATGGGCAACGCGTTAATTGACAAAGTGATTACAAGTGATTAAGCAGCCCATCCATGATCCGATTAAAATAACAATTATGGAGAGCAAGAGAGCGCGTGTTAAGCCCCTGGTCGATGAGAGAATTTGTTGGAATAAATCTTTAAAGTTTAAAATAAATTATTTTTGTTAAATTTAATGCGAAAATTCGAGATAATAGATTTTTAAACGCACAGTGTACATATCTTCCTGTTGAATGCACAAATTTGCACAATTTTTTAGTATTTTTGAATGTGCTCTCATAATTTAGATACTGATATATTTTCGTACATAAATTTGTGCCCCACTATCATAACAATGATTATTATTATTATTCAAACATTAGTTACGGCTCGGCGGACAGAATCATTGGAAATTCTACTCTGATGCTGGTCTTGCATTTCGGTCATCAATTACTACAGTCTGATTGCATAATCGACCGGATTTTGTTCTGAAATGCGGATTGAAATGTTGACAGAGAGCTTCGGAGTACTGCTGGGCATAATATTTGTGTGGTTATCTGTCTTGGAACAGAAAGTGGAGGCCAAGGTGCGTATGAGTGATGCGAAAAGAGGGAAATGATGATCCTTTTTGTATTCAAACAGAACAACTTTGAGCTGCAAGTCGACAACTTCACCTGCAGCAGCCAGGACACGGATAACCAAATTCTGAAGGAGTTCCGATGCGGCATGAATAAGAACGCCAAGCGTCGGAGCTGGCACATGGAGTTTAAGCTCCACCAACCGATGGGCGAGCACGAGGTCTTCATGACGATCGTCCTGCCCCGCCGCAAGCCCCTACCGGAATTTGTTCTGCTCAATCTCACCACCGATGGCTGCCAGCTGCTGTCCAACCGCAACCAGGTGCCGCTCATGCGCCTCGGCCGCAACATCATGGAGCGCTTTAGCAACTTTCCCAGGCAGTGCCCATTCCAGGGCGATATCATCTACTATATACGAGGCTTTCGCTTGGATCTCAGCCTCCTGCCTGCCGTAGAGATGGAAACCCCGGTGCACATAGAATTCGGTTACCAGGCCAAGTCGCAGGGTCTACGTTGGCTCCAGGGCAACCTGGCGGCGCGTGTGCAACGGCTTAGCGAAAAGAAGCGCCCCAAGACATCATAAATGGTAACCGCCACACAAAACAAATGAGGGGAAAATATATTAAACAAACATGAAGCTTCGGGACCGAAATTAATCATACCCTTGAAATCTATATATTTATATTCGATTAAAGCCAAATAAAGCGCGACTAATGTGACGAGTTTCAGAATCAAAATATAATGAGAGTTAATGGGAATACATTTGCTGAGATTATTGATAGAAAGTAAATATTTTAGACCGCTATTATTATAGCCCTAATACACGGGTATGTAATGCTTTAATAATGCCTCAGCTCCCAGCTGGTGTACAAAAACAAATTATGCTCGTATGCTATGACAAATCAGCAGAAAAACAGCTCATGGCCGTGGATGGAGTTAATATTGCAGAAAATCATCATCTTCCACCTGTCCGTGTCAGAAAAATCATCATGCTCTACCTGCCCGTGGCTGACAGCTGCCGCCATCAGAATCAGCTGTTGTTTTGCTCCAGCCATCGCCATCGCCATCGCCAGTGCATTCCATTCGTAGTTCCTTCATCTGATGTCGCGCATTCGGTGTTATTCCTTCTATGTCACTCCACAGAATGTTGTTCAATTACCCCCACAAGGAAGGCGACAGACAGGGACAGACACAGACACAGGCACAGAGACAGAGACAGATAGAGGGACACAATGCGACAGAGACGGAACAGAGGCATATAGAAAAACACATTGTAACGGTATTTTGGCGAGTGTTTGTACGACTGACAGATGGCGCGCGGGACGTACATACAAGACAGAATCCAGAGCAACAGCTGCCACAATTTGCCGTTTGACAGATGTCGCGGCAACGGGGCAAATACGGGTAGAAGAGACAACTAATAACGTTGGTCCGAAGTTTGGCAGGGTGAAAAGGGCACGGGCTGAAGAGGGGAAACGGAAAATGAAATGAAATGAGATGAAATGAGAAATGGGACGACAATGTCGTCTGTTTGATGATTTGTTACAGTAACAGCAACAGTTAGAGCTACAGTTATCGTTACAGGCACCGTTACAGGCACTGTTCGTAGTGAATCAACTTACGACGATGAGCCATGTGTTGCATACTCTCTTGATTAAGATCTCCCTTCAAGATTTACCTTTATTTGGGATTTTTCATACTGATATGTCACTTGCCTACATTCTCATACTTTGTTTCGCTGTAGCTCTGGTATTCCAGTCTCCCTTTCTCTGTCTCTGTCTTATTTTACTTTAATCCTCCCTCTACAGCACCCCCACTAATTAACTTCCAACTCTGTAGTCTGTGTATGTTAATTAGATGTCAGAGATTCACATAGACATAGCCATGCGTGTCTCTCCTCTCTCTCTTTGTTTGTGTGCCTATCTGTTTGTGTCGTCCCGTTACAATGAATTTGTAATCACCTTCCCCCATAGCACTGAAAACCGATCTGATGGCCCAAACCAAAGCCAACATTGATTTCGCTTTGGAACCCTTTCAGCGGCAGGCTCACAGCGAATCTCATTAGCTGTCTGCCACATACAAACAAGGAGACACAAGGTGCTGCTCAAATTATTGAACACATATGCAAACAAATATATTTTAGCCATCTTTTAGAGTTCCAAATAATGTAGCACACGGTTGAGGCCAAAGCGAATGCTCTTGCCGGTTTCCAGGAACAGAACTCGAAAGAAGAGAACACCGATGTGGATGCTAACCACCCAAATTGCCAAATGGAGATGCTCGTATAAGTATACTCGTACATAGAGTCAAGTCAAGCACAAAGAAACTAATGAAAGATGGGTAGTCAAAATTGTTCAACAAATGTTAAAATTGGAAAGTGAAAAGACACTCAGTTTTTAATGACGAATTTTTATAAATGTTTAGAAGAAGGGAAACAAGAAAGATGAGTAGACAATTCTCGTTGTAAATGTTGGGAAACCTTAAAACATAACGAGTAATGTGACAACAAAAGGGCAAAGGAAAGCAGCTGAAACAAGAAGTTACTTTTCATCTGCCTGTCAAGGAAATCATCCTTCGTCATTGTCCAAATAGGAGTTATATTGCTGTTTAGCCTTTAATTTAACACCCTGATAAGTTGCCAAACAGATTAGAGTCTTGAATTTTTAATCAGTTTCGTTGCCAACGCAGTTTCCAAACAATTGAAAGCGAAGCCAAGCCAAAATTTTGATAAGCCGAGGCCCCACACATTTCTGTGGTTAGACCGCAGCTAATGAATAGTTTGAGAACCTGTATGTACGAGTATGTTTTCGTTGCTTGCCACAGAGCATTTAAGTTGAAATCTAAAGAGAGTGGTCGGCGGGTTTCGGTTAAGCCTTCCCAGCGGATAATTAACACGGCCCCCACAATCCGTTTCATGACCCCTCCACCCCTCCAGACCTGGCACCGACTTTGAACCCAACTTTGGCCATAATGCATACAGAAAAGTACTTTACTTTCCGCCTTTTACCACCATCAAGCCACAAAACAAAGTTGTGAGGTTTTTAAGAGTTCTTGTGCCAAAGTTTACTTTTTGGTGGAGTTCCCAAAACTTTTTCACGTGTCCCGCTGAAAGCTTTTCCTGCCTGTCTTTAATTCGATTCTCCCTCACAAAACAGAACAAAGAAAATCTTCACTGTCTGTCTACACGAATACACACTTTATAATTAATTAAAGCAAGTTTGTCTTTCTGCTTGATATCTGCAGCACATTTGCCATGGCTGGGAGCTGAATTTTCTATGAAAAATTACATTGCTGGTAGAAATATTTGTGTAGAGTGAACTTAAGAGTCACAACAGTCGACATTTATTTGCTCTTTACTTTATTATCACTAATCCAATAAACAGTTTAGCAACTTTTCCTCAAATTCAATCATGTGTAGAGCGTTAAAATAGTGTTGGTAATGTTAAAGCAGTGTTGGAAACTTCCGCCCACTCCATATACCACCACAGTCTAGGACGAGATGTACGCACTGTGACATGAAAAGTCATTTTCCAATTGTTGTAAAGTGCAGAAATTTTGAAAATTGTGAAAATTCATCTTTTCATCTTTTCCTCCCCAGCTATGCAAAATGTGTAAGCTCTTGTTGTTTGTGTTTCTGTTTCTGCTGTCAATTTCACAGATTAATGCGCACACAGTTTCACAAGAGAGAAAAGCCAGGAACCATGGACCATGGCTGGGATTCGGTGCTGATGCAGCCACATTTATTATTGACAATGGCAAAAGTTTTGGTTTTCGACGGATGATGCCTTGGCTGGCCCCTGACCAGACGACGGGCCCAAAATTGATTTAAAGTATAGATATAGACAGATTTTAATCATCAAAGCCCCTGGCCACACCAATGGGCGTTAGTTCTTGGTTGCGCCTCTTCCCAGGCGAATTTATGACCAAAAGGGAAGTGGGTGAAGTGTGGAGTGGTGAGTGGGGGTGACAGTGAGAATGCTAGCTCAAAATACAATTTATGGCCTTGTTGGCAAGGGACGGATGGGGGGATGTTGTAGGCAAAGTTTCAATGTTATTTCTATACAAGTAAGAAGCTTTTCTAGGTCTTTCGGACTGTTTGCTTTCGGGAGTTTTATTTCCCTTGTGAAATTTGGACACCACTTGAAAACTGAATGTTGAATTTTTGTGAAGTGAAATCTTAAAGAACACTTTGCACAGCAATTATCAAAGAATGAATCCAACCAAAGAGACAACCAAACCCACCCCAAGCGAATGTATTCCGAGCATACGTTTAGCGATACAAATCTTTTGAAAACTGCTTATCATTTTGCGGTAAAGAGAGCCCATAGTTAGTTTCATTTAAAATAAACAGCTCCAGGCAGTCGTACGGTTCTCTTATCACCTCTTCCACGCTACCAGGCCATCTGCTTGGGGTTTGTCCATGTGGATATCGCAAAGTCGGATTTTGCGGTTACAATTTTTTGAATTTTTCGAGCTATGCGTGGACTATAAAAAGCCAGGCATTGCTGGGAGATGTCACAGTGCGCTGCTCATAGCCCCTCATCGAGTCACATTCCCCCATTCAAATCGTCTCTGGTCATAGCTAAAAATGACAAATACGGATCTGAAAGCCTTGGAGTTGCTGTTCCAGCGTCCCTTGGAGCCGGTGTTCACCAGTCGGGACCAGGGCAAGGTGGTGTTCGAGCTGCCCGACAGCTTCTACACGGATCGCTATCGCAATGACAGTGTCGCAGTGTCCAATCGTTTCTCGCAGGATGTGGACCTGAAGATACCCGTGCAGGAGTTGGTCAACAAGCCGAATCTGGCCTTTGCCAAGAAGCTGGGCCGAAAGAACCAGTTCTCGCTGTTCAACGATCGCCACAGGGAGATCGCCAGTCAGCTGATCACCTTGTACATGGGTGCACCCAATCTGAAGCAATTCGTGGCCCTGGCAGCCTACACCAAGTAAGTCCCAGGTTGTGGATCCTGTCTTGAGGACCGCTGATAGCTGTTCTTTTTTGCTGCAGGGATCGCCTGAATCCGGTGCTCTTTCAGTACGCTTATGCCGTCGCCATTGCGCATCGCCCGGATACGCGTGAAGTGCCCATCACCAACATTTCGCAGGTGTTCCCCGGCAACTTTGTGGAGCCCTCCGTCTTCCGGGATGCACGTCAAGAGGCGGCGGTGATCGGTGACAGTGGGGAGCGTATTCACGTGGACATACCGCGCAACTATACGGCCTCGGACCGCGAGGATGAGCAGCGACTGGCCTACTTCCGCGAGGACATCGGCGTCAACAGCCACCACTGGCACTGGCACTTGGTCTACCCCACCACCGGGCCCACGGAGGTGGTCCGCAAGGATCGTCGTGGCGAGCTCTTCTACTACATGCACCACCAGATCCTGGCCCGCTACAACGTTGAGCGGTTCTGCAACAATCTGAAGAGCGTCAGGCCGCTGAACAATCTGCGGGTCGAGGTGCCCGAGGGCTACTTCCCCAAGATCCTCTCCAGCGTGAACAATCGCACGTATCCGGCGCGAGTGTCCAATCAGCTGCTCAAGGATGTGGATCGCGAGGATGCCAACATTGAGATTGCCGAGGTGGAGCGCTGGCGCGACCGTGTCTTGGCTGCTATCGATCAGGGCTATGTCGAAGATGTGAGCTTCCCCCGAACAGGGTTTCCATTCCATATACGCTAATCCGT